TACAGACCCGGGAACTCAGCACAGGGATGGTGGGAGCCCCTCATAATGGGCACAGCAGGTGTACAGACCCGGGAACTCAGCACAGGGATGGTGGGAGCTCCTCATGATGGGCACAGCAGGTGTACAGACCCGGGAACTCAGCACAGGGATGGTGGGAGCTCCTCATAATGGGCACAGCAGGCATACAGACCCGGGAACTCAGCACAGGGATGGTGAGAGCCCCTCAAAATGGGCACAGCAGGTGTACAGACCAGGGAACTTTTGGACGATTTCTTAAAGAACCGTAATATACAGGGGTACAGGTACTCCTAGAATGAGATCCTAATAGGTTGGACTTGATGGACTAATGTCTTTATTCAACCTCAAATACTATGAACTCAGCACAGGGATGGTGGGAGCTCCACATAATGGGCACAGCAGGTGTACAGACCCGGGAACTCCGCACAGGGATGGTGGGAGCTCCACATAATGGGCACAGCAGGTGTACAGACCCGGGAACTCAGTGCAGAGATGGTGGGAGCTCCACATAATGGGCACAGCAGGTGTACAGACCCGGGAACTCAGTGCAAACATGGTGGGAACTCTTCATAATGGGCACAGCAGGCGTACAGACCCGGGAACTCAGTGCAGAGATCTAATCAACAGAATCCCTGAGGGAGAGAAGAAACTTTAGCATCCATAAAACACTGAAATATCAGGTTTGGGTGGAGTGGCTCTTAAAGGGAATCTCCCACAAAGGGATACACTTGTGTTGGAAGTGTCAGCGGTCATCCTCTGTGCTGTATATCCGTTCTAAAGCCGACACTTCCCTTGAATAGATTCAGCTTCTCTCCCCCAGAACAAGGTGGTCCATGTGAATGACATTGATACGATTATTCATAACATATTCCCTTTATATGCCATGTGCAACTAAGCATTCTGGGAACTGCAGAGCACACAGTTGGGGTGCCACAGTCAGGATTCTGATATAGATTTGTTTATTCATAACATATTCCCTTTAAGTGCCGTGTGCAACAAAGCATTCTGGGAACTGCGGGATACACAGCTGGAGCGCCGAAGTCCATCTCACGTTAGAATCAATGCCTGCATTATCATGCCTTGCACAGCAAATATTCAGGGAGGTCCAGCGGCTATCACCTCCGATGCCAAATTGTGATTCAAAACTGAGCCGTCTCCTGACTCTCACAGGCCGGTAATTAGGAATTAGCGGGTTAGTCATTTGCAGCCGGAGGTTATAAGCTGACAAGTGAACACAGCACCGGGCTACAGATGATGAATAAACCTCAGGTCCTGGCACCGACTGCGCACACAGCCATCGCTGGCAACGTAACCGACTCTCCCCAATCCGCTCCGCAACTCTCCATCTCACAAAACCAGAACTGACAGTGTTAGAGAATGTGGGCGTTCTTCCAGATCTGTGCAGTAATCCAGCGTGAAACTTTCCAGGAGCTTCTTCTTCTAATAAAGACCGGTTACTGCTGCTCCCTCTCCATGTGCAGGGTGACTGGTCTGGTCTCCGCCCCCTCCTGTAATAAAGATCAGTCACTGCTGCTCCCTCTCCATGTGCAGGGTGACTGGTCTTGTCTCTGCCCCTCCTGTAGTTTTTTGCAGGCATCCAGCAGTAGGTGGGGCCTGCTGGGCCCCTCCCACAGCTCTGCTCTATCTACTACTTGTGTAGGGTGACTTGTCTTGTGCCCGCCCCCTCCTGTAGTCTAGTGGGGCCTTCTGGGTCCCTCCCGCAGCTCTGCTCTTTGCACAGGTTATGTACAGCACAGTGATGATGTCACTGCTACTTCTTCAAAGTAATATTGTGGTCTGCAAAGACATTTGGTGCACTCAAAGTGAATTTATATCATTAGTGCCCAGAGGTTAGCTTGAAAACCAATTCATCTTGAGAACTTGTGAAAGAAAATGCTAATAACATACCGTGACATTTGATTAGTTCGACTCAAAAAAACTCTGCAGTGGCATTCTATGGGAACAACAAAATGCTCCACTGAGTTAGATTCCTGAGCAGCCAATGGTGACAGATTTCTGTTCTGAGACAGATTTATCACTGTAGATGGGACGGCATTTCATCTTAAACAGGCGCACAACTAAGGAGTGGTCGGGGTCGGGTTTTATTCTGTCGCAGTGCTACTTCAAAGCAGATGAGGGAGGAATTTGTGACTCCAGCTGTAACCTTGTAATACATCTTACAAGCAATACAAAAAGGGGACATTTATTTATCACCAAACAACGCAACATTTCGGGCCACTAAGGACCCCTTCAAGTCACTGCTGCCTAAGGAAGGGTCCTAAGTGGCCCCAAAACATCACACTGCTTGGTGGCCAATAACTATCCAATTCTTGTATTGCTACAATGTGTGCTGGTGATATGTCACTCTGGCTAGAGACATTCTGGACTATTTAGTGACTGTGCCATCCGTCATTTCACCACCGCCATCATTTGAGGTCTATGGCTGTAAGGAGTGCACTGGATTCTATGGATATATGGACTTGTACTAAATCCGTCTCACTGCTCCATTGTAACATTGCCTTACTGACAGAAGTGTTACATTTCCCCCAGAGACACCATGGTCCTGTGTAAGTCAAGACTCCAGCAACTTGTAGTTTGTATGGTTCTCGTAACACTTATGGTGACTGAATGGAGCTGTGCAGATGGAAAGGAAGGAATGTATATAGTGTGGGGCGACCTGCAAGGGCAATCCAGAACTTCACTTTAAGGTGACCTCTGACCCTGCTGTTTGTCCACACTTCCCCATTACCTCTGTATTACAGGTACTGAAGAACTGCATCGTGGGACATCTTTAATGAAGAAGAGCGGCCTGTAACACACTACAGAAAAGAAAGACAGCATCTTCTGCAAATGACTAAACTCCTATCATAGAACGTGAAGGAGGAACTGTGTGATATAGTAGAGATTTTCCTCACAAGGGTACCGGTATACCAAGTCCAGAAGCCATTTTCTAGGCTCAGCAAAGTCTATTCATTCTTCAAAAGATGGCGACGTCCTTAAAGTGACATTAAACCCTCAGATTTTTTTACATAAACCAATACGGTAATGTGCGCCTTACTGTAATCCATGGTTGTTTCCCTTCTCTTTGCTGCTCTTCCTTTTAAATCCTCATGTCTTCTCATGCTGGGGGAGGACTTCTGTTTTGCAGCAGACTGCCTTGTCTCAGGAATGGATACATGGTGTCTGTGTATAGGTTTGTAACCTGAGCCAGCACTACAGGAAGAGGCACTCAGCTGCAAAGGGAAGTTCTCCCCCAGCATGAGAAGACATGAGGATTTAAAAGGAAGAGCAGCAAAGAGAAGGGAAACTACCATGGATTACAGTAAGGCGCACATTATAGTATTGGCTTATGTTAAAAAATCTGAGGGTTTAATGTCACTTTAAGGCCAATGTAGCTCTGATATTTCAGGTCAAAGCACAAAATTGCTGCCAACACTGAACTGTGATTGGTGGAATAGGACATGGTCCCTGCTCCTCAATGCCTTGGTTGTTTAAGGTGGTCCCAAACCTTGGTGCTGCCAAGTGAAGAGCTTAGGTCACGTTTCCTCATCGGCATGTCATAGCTGAGCATGTTTGGAAAATAAATAGCTCCAGTAAGGAATCCGGAGCTTTCCTTGCTCTGCTCCTGCTGTGTAGTGGAGGAGATGGGCACAGAGACACAGTTCATGATGGTGATTGAGCTCATATTGGTTCCTCTCTCCTGGCAGAGAATGACGTAAAAAAAGTATCATCAGGTTATATGTGACAATTTCAGAAGTTCTTTCTAACACAGTATCTTGCTTTGTAGTAAGTAGATGGTTAAGGGTGGGACGTCACCACCGGGTGTGGGGGGTCGCTGGTGCTGTTGGTGTAGCCCAGTTTCTTCAGGTCCTTTGTGACCACGTTGAAGGACAGTGTCAGGAAGCCTTGTGACCGCACTCTGGTAACTGTAATGACATTTATGAACATTTATTTACACTAATTTCCAGTCAATTCAAATTACAATTTGCCTTCAGGTCAATCAGAAAGAATCCTAACCCCTCCCCCCTCCCCCCGGCAAAATCAGCCCCTGAGGATGAGTTACACCATGCACTGATATCTGTGACAATTATTGCATAACTAGCTCCTGATTGGTTCTTCTAGCTGTCAATCAGAAGTAGCAGTTGGGTGAGTGACATCCAGTCACGTGAGGGATCTCCGATTTGGGTTTTGCATGGGACAGAATACAACCGTTACCTTCATAATAAGTGGAACTTCAGCCAAACCTTATTTCACTAGAATTAAAGTGGAGAAGGGTTAGAACCTCCATTAGGTGTATCAGTGAGTTCCATCTCATTATTTGTCCTGGTGACCTCTGACCCCAGGTGTCAAAGTTAATCTAAAATTTGACAGCTGAGAGGAAATCATGTTGGGTGGATATCTGGTATGGTAAAAAGTAGGGATCCACCGATACCGATACTAGTACTCGCCCAAATGCTCCGATGCCTGGCCCGCTACTTCCTGTATCAGGAAGTCGGCTCCATGCTCCCTCGTCACTTGTGACGACACAGCATGCAGCCGGCTTCCCGGCCAATCAGGAAGCCGGGCAGCGTGTAATGATGCGCTGCCCGGCTTCCTGATTGGTCGGAAAGCTGGCCAATCAAGAAGCCGGGTGACGTATAATGACGCAGCACCCAGCTTTCTGATTGGCTGGGAAGCCGGCTCCATGCTCCCTCGTCATCTCATGACGAGGGAGCATGGAGCCGGCTTCCCGGCCAATCAGCAAGCCGGGCGACGCGTCATTACACGGGGCCCGGCTTCCATTATTGGCCAGCAAGCCGGCTCCATGCTTTCTCGTTACATAGTGACGAGAAGCATGGGACGGCTTCCTTGGTAATCGAGAAGACGGGTGGCGAGTCTTTACATGCTGCCCGGCTTCTTGAATGGTACTTCTGGTACTCGGTATTTGGTATTGGCGAGTGCCGAAAAAAAAATACAGGTACTCATACTTGGTACCAAAATACCGGTATCGGTGCATCCCTAGCAAAAACAAAGTTTGGGGAGGGTTATACTCCCCTCCTGCTGTGTCTAGACAGTGAAAGGAAAAGCAGCAGACTTATGAGCTCATCTCTCTGACACTCTGCTCTCTCCTATCAGCATGCTCTTTCCACTGCAACACACCTAATTGGCTCCTTGTGCTGCTTCTTCTCCCCTCTCTGAGTTTTTTTTTTTGAAAGTTGTGGAGCGTGCATCGAACATCCAAAAAGTGAACCAAAAAAATGCACATAAGGGATGCAATCTAAAGGGTCCGTCTCCCAAAGAGACAGGGCCCATCCCGATCCCCCGGATCGCAAAGCTCCTGATGAGGACAAGGCACTCGTGTCCACCTGGCCGAAACCAGGCGGACCCATTCCTCGTGGTCAGCCGAAGCCGACCATTGAGAACACGGTTGGGGACTCCCCCGAAGGGAGACCCTCGATTCAGGGGAGGAAGGAACCTGAGGGCCACACATCCTCCCCCTAGACTTCAGGGTAGGCCTGAAGACCCACATCCTCCATGTGGAAGGACTTTTGCTCATGTCACAAAACGCCAGCGATATGGGTGATTATGTAACTCTGTGTGATGGTGGCGGGGATGCCAGCACGCTCCTGTGCGTTCATGGAGACGGGAACATCTGCTGCGACATCTGCGAGTCGTTTGTCACATTCTTGTGGCTCCTCCTAGATATCCAAGAAGCATTTAGTAGGTTACTCAGAGCCTTCTGCTCATCTGCAGAGACTATTATTAAAACAGACAGTAATAGAATTACTGTATTTCTATATTGAATTCCCATGAGTTCTCTCCCGCTCCAAATTACCAGATCCAAACTTACTTATTGAAGATGCCCATAGGATGTACTTCCAAAATGCAGTGACACCATTTCACTCACTTCCTGGTGTCACCGCCCTCACAGAACCTACCTTCTGAACTACAACGCAACGTCTGAACGATGTAACATTAGCATTGCTTGCTGGAAGCAATGCATGATGGGAGATGTAGTCTTGAGAAATGGAGATTGCATCACATCAAGCAGCAGGGAAAGAGACGCAAAGCACACTGGGAATCCAGGAAGTTGTTGGAAGTGATGGACAGACGGAAGGCAGCACTCACTACATAAAAGGGATTTTCTCAAGTAAGCATTGATTACATTATCAGAAACATCTCCAGTATGTATGCGTATTACACTGCTGATGTTATAACAGGAGAGGAGATGCTGGGACATTACAACTCCTTTAAAAAAGCGAACAGATCTGTCTTAATAGTCCTGGAAGTACAGCACTATATCAGGGCCTAGTCTCCTAAATGGCGCAGGAGTTCTTGGAGCACCATGTACTGACTCTTCATAAAGGTCACAAGTACAGTCACAATCTTATGTCGTTGAATAGCGTGATCATAAAATCTTGTAAACGAGTTCATGTTTTGTAAATCTTTAAAGGAGAACTATGAGGCCAGTGCTTTTCACTCACCTCATAGTTCTAGCCGACCTGTGACAATGACACTGTCACAGGTCGGCTCAGTAGATCGGGAAGTGAGCGAACACATACCGGCGTTCGCTCACCTCTCGATCCTGTCACGGCTCTCTGCCGTGACAGGGGAGGGGCTGGATTCCCCCCTCCCCGCTCCGATCCGCCAGCGCTGACTGGCGGAACGAACGGGGGAGGGGGCGGGTACAGCTGGCTCTGCCTCTAGATAGGCAGACCCAGCTGTCAGTCACACAGCTGGGCGGATCCCGACATAATTGTCGGGATCTGCTTCAGCTACGGCGTCTCAGTATACCGCGAGCTACAGCTCGCGATATACGGAGCCTAGGGTGACGGGAGGACGCTAGTTTGTGTCCTCCCGTTACCCTAAGGAGAACTATGGGGAAAAGCCCTAACCAAACAAATCAATCAATCAAACATACAGCGCCTGTAGATTATGGCTGACATGTCAATAAGGGAGATCAGTGAAGAGTCCTTTAAAACATCCTCATGGGAAGAATAAATCACTGTAATGCCATCAATGTATAACATAAGGAGATTGCAGGTTCTTTAAATTGCATCCACCGCTCAAATGTCAACTGTGTTGAACTACATAGGATTATGACTGCAGTTGTGACCTTTATGAAGAATCATCATTTTATAGACTTTTACTGACATAGTGCGATGCTCAACAGATCTGTAATTAAAGCTGAATTCCGGGATCAGTAAATATTGTCCTCATACAAGAGTCCTGTGTATTCTTCTTAAATCTTGGTGAGCTTTGTGTATTTCTTCCAGATCTGTGCAGTAATCCCGTGTGAGACCTGGAGATTCCTGTAATTAAGACCGCTCACTGCTGCTCCCCCTCCTTGGGCCGGGTGACTGGTCTGGTCTCCGCCCCTCCTGTAATAAAGACTGGTAACTGCTAATCTCTCTTCTTGTGCAGGATGACTGGTCTCGTCTCCTCCCCCTCCTGTAATAAAGACCGCTCACTGCTGCTCTCTCTCCTTGTGCAGGGTGACTGGTCTTGTCTCCACCACCTCCTGTAATAAAGACCGCTCACTATTGCTCTTTCAACTTATGTAGGGTGACTTGTCTTGTTTCCGCCCCCATCTGTATTAAAGATATGAATGATGGAGCTCAGGAGTCTCCAGTGAAGGGCACTGTTGATCCTATAGCATAGAAAGATATTGTAGACAATTGCGTCCTTCCAGCGTTGTGGTAACAATTTGGTGAAGGCCCTTTTCTGTTCCACAATGACTGTGCCCTGTGTACAAATCCAGCTCCATAAAGACATGATTTGATGAGTTTAGTGTGGAGGAACTTCAGTGGCCTTCACAGAGTCCTGACCTCAACCCTGCTGAACACCTTTGGGATGAAATGGAATGCCGATTGTGAGTCAGGTCTTCTCACCCACTATCAGTACCTGACCTCAACGCTGCTGAACACCTTTCGGATGAACTGGAAAGCCAATTGCAATTTTGGTCTTCTCATCCATCTTCAAGACCTGACCTCACAAATAATCTTTTGGCTGAATAGCCACAAATTCCCACAGACATCCTCCAAACTCTTATGGAAAGCATTCCGAGTACAGGCTGCTATATACATAAATAGGAGACTAACTCCATTTAATTCCCATGGTTTTGGAATGTGATGTCCAACAAGCCCATACAGGAGTGACGGTCACATGCCCACAAACATTTGCCCGTGCAGGGAATGTATGAAATAAAGAGTGGGCCAGCACAGCGCAGTCAGTTTATGGCTTCCGTATCCCATCTGCAGAGGGTACAGCTGCCGTGCTAATGATTTACCAGCTTGCTGCTTGAACTGATGTTTAAACATAAAAAACCCACAAAAGCTGAGCACGAGCCCGGCCAGCTCTGCACGCTGTAATTAAACACTTGTTCAATTTAGCACTCCGCTTTCTCATGATAATAAGCGTGCGTGCGGCGCTGTCTCGCGGCGCTAATGCATTAGGATAAATTAAAGCCGCTTTTCAAAACTTCACTTTATGAAGTCCGCGGGTAATTCCACGTTTTATCAAGGTGACCCCGCCGGCTTCACCACGTGACGAGGAGATAATTGGAATATAATTTGGTGTTTAATGCATTCTCAACAGGATCGGAGTACAGAAGGTGAGCATCTGTCAGCGGCAGGTAGACGGGCCGTCCAACGAGCTGGAACCCCTGAATAACGTTTCCTATCGGAGAGACGCTGGCTGTTATCCTTATTGTGTGGAAAGGGAATTCAAAGACAAAACTTTTTCTTTTTAATTAGTATGGAAGTGTGGAAGTGTGAGACCCTCTCTTGTTGGGGAGATTATCTCTCTGCTTAACCTGGAAACAATGAATCCAGAATCTGACAGTTGCTACTAGGACAGCAATAGAGGGGGAATCATCCAATGGGGACACGTGTTATGGTGACAAAAATAAGCTTTTCCTCACTTTGGAGAGATTTCCACTCACTTCCTGTTGCATCTCCAGGACTGGAAGCGAAGGGAAATTTCCCCAATGGGACAGAGACAATAAAAAAAATGACTTGGGTTTTAACCCTAAGAAAAAATGTCAGCTTTTAGAATGCTTGAGATATAGAAACTCTGTACTTACCGCTCAGTGTGTCTGCACACCTCCTCAGCTACCTCCTAGAGTCACCAGGAGCCCCAAAACTCAGGGCGCTCCTATATGCAACACGTGACCCCACCGCCTACCAATTAGCCAGTGGAGTCACACATCGCACAGGCCAATCATGAATTGTTGGAGGGGCGGGGGGAGGGAGGGCATCTAGTATTACTTAAAGCAGAACCCTAGCCAAAAATAATACGCGAACAATGACAGCAATACTTACCCTTTAGAAAAGAAAAGTAAAACCAGCTTTTGCGACAATACTCACCTTTAATCCAGAAATATCCCCTGCAGTACTTTTTTTCTGTCACTAGGTGTCCTTCGGTCTGATGTTCAGTACCATTCCACTCACTTCCTCTGAGCCCGGGTAAGCTCATCTCTCCATCACTCAGCGTTCTCCTCCTATCAGCCTGCTTCCTGGCTGATTGGCTGCTTGTGGCCAGAATGGGGAGTGGGGTGGATTTAACATGAACTGGTAACAAACGGTACTTTAAATTGATCATATGATGAAAAAAACGAATAAGCCGAGTTAAAAAACGGCATAGAAAAATCAGAGGATGCGGAAGTATAGACCATTGAAGTAAAGCGCTGTGCAAACTATTGGCGCTATATAAATCCTGTATAATAATAATTATATGCAAATCTCTCAAAAGCTCCCCTTTTGCAACAAAAGCCAAGATTTGCCTATAACATCATCTGTCCGTATATTGGTTTTCTTGTAGCCTGATACTGAGAACACATTTATAGCTCATTATATAAAGTAACTCGCGTCACTGATCAAAATGGAAAAGAGAATTCAGTTCCAAGACCTGTACGGAGGAACAGACTCTCTGATCTGAAAAAGATCCCAGGATGCAAAATATTAATAACTTCTAGAACGGGGCCGTGCCATCTGTGCGCCTTCGTGTGATCCGCAGAGAACATTTATTTCTGATGAATAATAACGAATGCCTCGTGTGGTGCCTTTCATAGTCGGTGACACTATGCCTCGCCAGCCAAGCAGTCTGTGCATTACAGACTTGTGGGCGTTACCTTCTCTGCCGTCACCCTGCGCCACCACTTTCGGGTCGGTGAATTCTGGACGTCGTCCCGTGAACCAGCTGGAAAGAAAATAACGACAGGAGATTAATTGAAGCAAGATTACAGTCAGTGGAGAATCCAGAGTATGGAACATGGCACTGCTCCCCACTTTAGCTGACATTTTTCTCTCCCCACCCCTCTCTCGTACACATCCAGCTCCCCACCCGGCTCTTAGCAATCAGGGATGCTCTGGCCGGCATCCCGTCCAGCTCCTGGCAACGTCACTGGTTGCCAGGAGCTGGGCGGGACACCGGCCAGAGAGTCCCAGCTTGCTAAGAGCCGGGCGGGGAGATTTTAAATGGCCATACACATTTCCCCACCTGGCTCTTACCAACCAGAGCAGAAGGGGATATGTGTATGCGGGCAGGAAGCCCTGGCCGGCATCCCGCACAGCTAATGGCAACCAGTGATGTCACTGGTTACTAGGACCCGGGCGGGAACCCTGCCAGAGCTTCCCAGGTTGCTAAGATCTGGGTGGACAGATGTGTATGGCCCTTACACATCTCCTGGCCCGACTCTTGGCATCCTGGGACGCTCTGGCCATAGTCCTGCCCAGCTCCTGGCAACCAGTGATGTCACTGGTTGCCAGGAGCTGGGCGGGATGCCAGGGGTGCAATTTTTTTGTAGATACACCTCTGTTTACAGTGTTGTAGGGAACAATGTAGAAATCCCTTTTACTGGTTAAATCTGAGCTCCAGGAAAACAGCTAAATATGTAGAGGGGGGCCCCAGTATCACCTTAAAGAGTACCTGTCCCTGCCAATATGCTATCACGTGGGGGCCCCCCTATGTGATGGCAATTAAAGTAAACAAAAAAAAGTTTTACAAATAATATTAAATAAAACAAATGTAAAAATAATAATAAAAAATGTATTAAAGTCCCCTGCAAGCACGCGCGTCTTCAGGTAAACACGCGTCGGGTGCGCCTACGTACAAAAACGACGATCGCGTTACACATGTTGGGTAATGCTGCGCACGCCGAGTGAGAGCAATAATTCCAATATTTATGCGTATCCCTAAACCGGTGACCAGTGGGGGCTTTTAAGGCGTCGTCTATGGCCTTTTTGGGGTATTGAATTTTGTCGCAGTTTCACAGACGCACACAATTTTTAACCCGGGCATGTTGGCTATCTATTTACTCGTTGTAACCTCATCATTTATATTTTATCACCCAAAAACGGGTTTTATATAGTGTTTGGGGCACTAAATGTAATTTAAAGGAGAACTATGAGGTGAGTGAAAATCACTCATCTTCATAGTTCGAGCCGACGTGTGACAATGAAACTGTCGCAGGTCGGCTCAATAGATCGGGAAGTGAGTGAACGAATACTGTCGCTCGCTCACTTCTCGATCATCTCCCTGCAGAGATCTGTGACTGTCACTCATGGCTCCCCGCAGGGATTCCCCCCCTCCCCGCTCTGATCCTCCAGTGCTGAGTGGAGGAATGGACGGGGGAGGGGGCAGGCACAGCTGGCTCTGCCTCTAGACAGGCAGAGCCTGCTGTCACTCACGCAGCTGGGTGGATCTCGAACGCATTGTCGGGATCTGTCCCGGCTGTGGTGGTCCTCTGTATACCGCAAGGCATAGCTCGCGATATACTGAGCTTTGGGTCACAGGAGGACGCTAGTATATGTCCTCCTGTGACCCTTAGGAGAACTATGGGGAAAAACACTGACCCCATAGTTCTCTCCTTTAAGTGTATTTTTCACAAAATTGTGGGTTAGATAATAAGTTGTGCTAATGTCACGCAACATAAACGTTTGCAACTGCCGCCATTTCCAACTGCCGCCGATTCTACAGGGTCTTGGCTTTCAGAAAGTATATCGAACAGGTCGCATCTGGCTTCATTCATTCAGGTGTAATTACTTGCTGCTCGCGGAACTGCCGGGAAGGAAACTCGGTTTAGCGCCGTGGTGGTTGTTGCTGCCGCCACAATATTATGTATGCTGAGGAATGCCCCCGGGGGGAAGACGAGGTTCTCTGAAACTGGGAAAGCTTATATGTAGCCTGCGGAAAGATCGCGGCATGCCAACGTCAATGTGTGTAAGCTTAGCGGCGTGCGTTCGAAAACAGCGAGCCGGCATTGTTGAACTATACGGCTTCCTTCCTAAAGAATTAAATTCCCTAAAGAGAATCCGTCATGTATTTCCAGTAATGACACGAGCCAGGTTATTACCCTACGGCTATCTGAAACTAATTTTTTGATGCACATCACATTTATAGATGCTTGTGCTCCACCGTTTCTATGATATGTGGCTCTCTGTATGTCAGATAGTGCAGCCTGCATCCCTGCTGGACAGCTAGTAAGATTTCAGCGATATGGAATACTACAGAATCAGAGTAAGGAAGATATATTCCTTTATTACATGTTTTTTATATCTGTTTTTATGACAAAAGAATGAACCTCCTCAGGGCCACAATACCTATATAAACGGCAGCAACATGAATTGGTTATATCAAGAGGCCTGTCACATACAAGCATTCAGGTGGCAATAGAGCCACCCGATCGCTTGCACGGTGCTGGGGAAGTGTGTGCCCCCCCCTCTGCTGGCCATCCCAGGCTCCGCTGCCCCCCGCGCGGGCCCGGCAAAGGCATGACGGGCCTGCATAAGATGACGCCAGTGGTCCTTAGACCGCAGGAGCCCAGGGGAGAAGAGGCTGTGGGGACCGGTCTAGCATCCCAGCAGGATCGAGGATCAGATGAGTATGTCTTTTTTTTATTTGAGCCCCCTAGCACTTAACGCTTGCAGTGTGGGGGTAGCCCCATTGCTTTTTTTTAATTCTTGGAGTTCTTTAAGGTTAGTATTCCCCTCACTTAGATCTTCCGCTAGTAAAACAAGCAGCACATGCTGCATAGGCTGGGACTGGGCGGACATCTTTAATCAGAATGAGGCATTAAAGTGAAGCTGTCACTTTGCCCAATCATATAGAGCCATTGAGGGGAATTTATCAAAACGGGAGGAGACAAAATCTGGAGCAGTTGCCCATGGCAACCAATCAGCTTCTCTCTTTCATTGAGACTGAACTGAAGATAGAAGCTGATTGGTTGCCATGCACAGCTGCTCCAGATTCTGTCTGCTCCAGTTTTGATAAATTCCCCCCATTGAGCCTTTGTAAGCTGCAAGTCACTTGCACCCAATTCCCTCTCCTCGCTCCCGGCGGCGGAGCGGTGAAGAAAAGACGATCACGTGCAGTTTTCGGAGGTGGTAAGTTAAATGAACCTCTTGCTTTGCCGTGCACGGGAAGACCTAGCCGTAGGCCAAAACTGACTGTTCCCATCTCGCCCACTGTGATCAACGAGGCCCGCCGACAAAATCAAATATTGGTTTTCAATCTCGATCTGGTCTCTAGGGGAAACAAAAAATCTGATTCCGCCTTCCGGAGAGCTGGTTAGCACATAAAAAAATGTAAAACGGCAAAATATCCCCAAAACAAATCCAGCGGGCGACCGCAGCGTCCTGCTGTGTTTTAATTCGCTTGAACTTCGGAGTCAGCCCGGAGAAACGCGCGTCTTCTCCAATAACAGGCCTCATTAAAGCCGCGGCTGGACTGGAAATCCACCTCCAGCCCAAACACGGCGCTTTCAATTAACTTAGCGCTGGGAGGGACGTGCGGCTGGGATCTGGTAAATCGATGGCTGCATTGTGATGTTCTATAAATCGACCCACCAATCGCTTTAATTAGAATGGTCAAATATCCGCTATTTCGTTACTGGTGCAGGGGATGCTACACGCCGTACTGCCCTTTCCTGCAACACGGGGACCCTCCAATTATTACCTGTTTAATCCCGCAGGCAGTTCAAGTACAAAGATCATTTAAAGCGGAACTGTAGCCTTAGAAGAAGAAATTGTGAGCAGGAAGGTTTGTTTCTTTCATTACAGAAGAGACATAATATGGAGAATATCTAAAGAGAATTCTTATAGCTCATTCGTCCAGGAAAACTGCATGTACATTCGTTCTGTACTAGATAACAAGCTGTTGTAACAAAGGGGGCAACAACGAATGTAAGCACTCAGGAGCAGGGCCCACCTTACCATCTTGTCTGGAATTGTATTGTGATTGTAATGTCTTCCTTATATTGTACAGCGCTGTGCAAACTGTTGGCGCTATATAAACCCTGTATAATAATAATATTCTTAGTGCAAATTCTCTTCTGATCGAATGTTCTTCAAAAGGTTCATTCACAAACACCCGGGTCAACCTGCTTGATCACTAATACTCCCTCCTCATCACCCGGGTCAACCCGCTTGATCACTAATACCCCCACCTTATCACCCGGGTCAACCTGCTTGATCACTAATACCCCCTCCTTATCACCCGGGTCAACCTGCTTGATCACTAATACCCCCTCCTTATCACCCGGGTCAACCTGCTTGATCACTAATACCCCCTCCTTATCACCCGGGTCAACCTGCTTGATCACTAATACCCCCTCCTTATCACCCGGGTCAACCTGCTTGATCACTAATACCCCCTCCTTATCACCGGAGTCAACCTGCTTGATAACTAATACCCCCACCTTATCACCCGGGTCAACCTGCTTGATCACTAATACCCCCGCCTTATCACCCGGGTCAACCTGCTTGATCACTAATACTCCCTCCTCATCACCTGGGTCAACCTGCTTGATCACTAATACCCCCCCCTTATCACCCGGGTCAACCTGCTTGATCACTAATACCCGCTCTTATCACCTGGGTCAACCTGCTTGATCACTTATACCCCCCCCCTTATCAGTGTGCACAAGGAAAATACTGCATTATGGGCACCAGAGGGAGCTGAGGATCATAGGAAACAAATGCATGTTAGTAAGGAGATACAATTTTATAATTCAAAAAACTACTGGAGGGAATGAGCATATAAATGTAACCATTGATACTATGGTACCATACTATAGTGGTGGCATTTATATGCTCATTCCCTCCAGCGATCTCTAGACTTGTAACATTGTATCTCCTTAATGACATGTATTTATTTCCTATGATCCTCGGCTCCATTTAGTGGCCATAATGCCGTATTTA